CCATTAGAATGTTACTAGCCTATGCATCAATAATGGATTTCAAACTATATCAAATGGATGTCAAAAGTGCTTTTCTAAATGGTTTTATTCAAGAAGAAGTTTATGTTAAACAACCCCTAAGATTTGAAAACTCAAAATTTCCAAATCATGTTTATAAGTTGAAAAAGGCTCTATATGGATTGAAACAAGTTCCTAGGACATGGTATGAAAGACTATGAAAATTTCTTTCGGAAAAAGGATTTACAAGAGGAAAGGTTGATACAAATTGTTTATTAAAATAAAAATGAATAACATTTCACTAGTACAAATTTATGTTGATGACATTATTTTTGGTGCTATAAATGATTCATTATGTGAAGAGTTTTCCAAAGATATGCAAAATAAATTTGAAATGTCCATGATGGGAGAATTAAACTTTTTCCTTGGACTGCAAATAAGACAAACCAAAAATGGAATTTTCATAAACCAAAGCAAATACTATAAGGAATTACTTAAAATATTTGGAATAAAGAATGCTAAACCAATGGAAACACCAATGAGCATTGCTTGCTACCTAGACAAAGATGAAAACGGAAAATCCATAGACATAAAGAAATACAGAGGTATGGTCGGATCTCTTTTATACTTATTTGCAGGTAGACCTGATATTATGTTCAGTGTATGTTTGTCTGCAAGATATTAATCTAATCCAAAGGAATCACATTTAAGTGCAGTAAAGAGAATTATGAGATATCTATTAGGAACTACAAATCTAAGTCTATGGTATCCTAAAAACATGCCTTTCAATCTAGTAGGCTACTTTGATTCTGATTTTGCTAGATGTAAAACCAATAGAAAAAGTATGAGTGGAACATGTCAATTCATAGGATCTACATTAGTTTCATGGCATAGTAAAAAGCAAAATAGTGTAGCTTTATCCACTACTGAAGTAGAATATATTGTTGTTGGAAGTTGTTGTGCTCAAATTCTATGGATGAAGCAACAACTCTTTGATTTTGGTTTATCATTAGATCATATTCCAATTAGATGTGATAACACTAGTGCTATCAATCTTTCTAAGAATCCAGTACTTCATTCTAGAACTAAACACATTGAGATTTGACATCACTTTCTTAGAGTGGATCACCATTTTTCAAGTGACCTTTTCAATCCACTCTCAACTAGGAGAAAATTTATCAGGATCTATTTGGGATATCATAGCGGATACGGTCACCTCCTATAATCGTTAGAGCATCCCCACCAAACGTAACTCCAAGACCAAGGTAGAAGACTATAAAGACCCACTTATATAGATTCACTGCCACTTCCAAACGAAAGTTGTTGAGCTTTGGAAAAGCTTAAAGAGTTTTGATGATCACAACATGAGAACAACAACTTGGAGCACAAAAACAAAGTCAAAGAAGAATCAAGAAAATGCTATGAGATGGAGCTATGTAATAGAACTTAGGATATAGATTGTCTTGAATGAGTTTCTATATTTTGTGTGTTTAGTATGCTTTGTGCATGAGCAAATCTTATCTAAACTAAGTAGAGAGTATATGATGATGAGTTAAAAACATTGGAAAGTTATTTTGAATCTTAAAATGAAGTTTTAAGAACTAACTCAAAATAATCGATTATTGTTAAATATAATCGATTATTTCAGCTAATAGGCTAAGTGGAATGCCTTGCTGTAATAATCGATTATTTGCCAAAATAATCGATTATCCCAGGAACAACTCTCTGGAATAATCGATTATCCAGCTAAATAATCGATTATATTGTTCTTGGTTGATTTCCAGAAAATCTGAAGAACAAAATAATCGATTATTCTTTAAAATAATCGATTATCTGTGTCTGAAACTTTTATAAATAGTTTGAACCTTGAGAAACTTCAGACATGAGTTAGAACTGATAATCAATTTGTGAAAAACGTTTTTGTGAGTCTTTGTGACATCTTGGAGAGTTTTCTTTGTGAAATCCAAGAGTGAAAACGTTTGTGAAAAGCTTTGATAGAAGATCATCATCATCATATTCTTGAAAGGGGAAGATAAAGATTTGTTCAAGAATTCCAGGTGAATTCGTTCCTTTTATTCTTTGTGAATCTTTGTGGAAAATCTTGAGAAGGGTTTCTCAAGTGGTAAGGTTTCTTGTAGTGGGTTCTACAAGGGGTGCTTTCTTGGGGTCAAGAAAGTGGTTATCTTTTAGTGTTGAAGTATATGCATGTGTGTGTGCTTGTAAACCTTCTTGCTTAAGATAGTGGAACAAATCTTAATCAGGTGTTGATTAAGGACTGGATGTAGGTCACATGTGGAGTGGCTGAACCAGTATAAAAGACTTGTGCAATCTTCTTCTACCTTATCTTTTACTTTGAGTAATTGCTTGATTGAACATTAAAGAAGATAATTCTTGATTAACATGTGTATGTGAAAATTGTTGGTTTAAATCTGAATTAGAACATTATATTTGAACCTCACAATTTTGTAATCAAGAAAGCATATTGCATTCATACGTTCATAACAAGTCTTTAAGAGAGCTTCATTTGAAAAATTCAGTCTTAGAAAAGTTTAAGTGAAATAAAGATCCTAAATACTCTGATAATTTTTAAAAGGGTCATAGAACCCAATTCACCCCCCCTCTTGAATTGTGCCATTCTTTTCTAACAAAAGTATGCATCAATACTTGGACTCCAAACAACTTCAATAACAAGCAACAATATTGCATATGTTTAGCACCATTGTCATCATGTTGCTAGACCTCTATTTGGACTTTTCCAAAATACCAAGCCCCTACCTGGATTTCACCATTGCCAAACCTTTGCTTGGACTTTCTAATATCATCATTGTCATTATTAATCATCACCTTGAATACCCCAAATGTTTCAAATGTTGCACTTAAGGTTGTCAAACATATCAACACACACATCTCATAATGTCCTCTTATCATGCCTCATCAGGCACATTACACGTAAGAATCTCATACCACACATTATCATCATCATCATCTCACATATCCATCAACCTCCTAAATGTTGAACAAAACATTCTCAAGTCAAACATCAACATTTCATATCACATTACAAACAATTATCTTGTATCATATATAGCCACACAAAGTCCTAAGCACAAAGTCTAATAAACATAACTTCACATCTTCATCATAACCATCCATAAATATCCTCTCTCACATTTTTTATTTCTTAATTATTTGTATTGGTAATTCAAATCATTCTAAAGATTAAGCAGTTAGAGGATAAAATAACTTACCATTACAACTCATAAACTATCTCTTCTTATCTTCAGCTTTAATGACATTGTGTGGTCTAAACGTGATATCTAGAATTATACTTATAATATCACGTTGATTCTAATTTTTTGGAAAGGTATGAAAATTAAATACAAATTCTATGTTGATCTCAAGAGTTTATTTTACTTTCTAATTTTTTTTTAAAATTCAAAACCACAGTGTTTAAGGTTATTTTGATAGCTTGACCTTTGTTCACTAATTTTTCCATATATTGAGTTATAGACCTCCTTTTTGGGTGATTTTAACACCATTGGAAAAACAAAATCCAAAGCTACAACATTTATGATTGCCAAGAAACTTAATTTAGTCATGTAAGTCTCCTCACAAAGTTGACAAGGTATAAATATTACTTTTCATGTACTAGATGTGAGGCTCATCTTATAACTCACATAATTTGATTATTTCTTAGCATTTTTATGTGATTATTGAGTTTAAATTATATCTCAAAATGTTTACTTTCCATCCCAACAAACGGAACTCTATTTGACAAATCATACAAATATAAATCACCTAAATATTGAGGTATGTTTAAACATACAACCCTACTCTCAAAAAAGACAACATGGCCTTATTATCAATCATAAAATTCATTATAATATACACTCATGCAACAATAATTCAATACTACCACATCAAGTCCATTAAATACAAGCAATTATAAACCCTAAGAATGCTTAAGAATTGCCTCACTATCCATACCCCTCATATACGCCCATAAAGTGAGACAATCTTAATCCCCCTCTTACCTTAGATGGCGATCTTCAATGTGTAGGAACAACTCCATTGTTTCAAGGCTACTCCAGCACTTCTCACAGTTCTCCTTTAAGTTTTCCTTTACAAGCAATCTTATGATTTTTAGAAAATTTACACATAATCTGACCTAAACCTTCTTGTATCTCTTTTTTCGTAAAACTCCAAGTTAAGCTCAAGAGTCTAAACTCAAAGGCTTCTCTCAAACCCATAACTTATCTCTATTTTAGTTTATTTATTAAAAATATTCTTTATTCATATTATAAGATCAATTAAGTAAATTAATTATTTATTATAAATATTATTAAAACAATTTATTTTATTTTTATTTTTGAAAAATAAGATGTTACAATTTTTATAAAAATGTGTAAATGTTGAACTTGTTTTTCTTTGGACACATATATAAAGACTTAATGTATCATATGTTAGATTATCAAGTCTTTAGTGAATGTTTGTTTTTACTTAAGAAACATATAAGATTGGATGATCTTATCTAGTCATTTAAACATGTATAAGGGATGATTGTTTTATACTATTTATTAATTTTGTTAATGTGTTACTGTAACATTTTGGACACTTTTGTATTTTATGACTAGCTCTTAGAGAGAGTGAATTATTAAACCAAGACATGACAAAAATGAAAAAAAAAAAAAAAAAGATTAATATAGAAAGATGTAGATGCATGTCAATTGATAAATCAACATCATAATTTGCACTTCAACTTTTATATACAAATAGATACATACTCATTTAAACAAGATGTAAAGGAACAATCATTTTTATTTATTAATCAATTAAATGTTTTACATATAGAATATTATACATATAGAATTTGTTTGTTTAAACTTAAAAAATAAGTGTTTCTAAACAACTGCTTTTAAAAAAAATTATTTAAAAAATATATAGGAGTTGTTTCTTGAAAAAAGTAGAAAACCACTTATTTTTTATATAAAAAAGTAGACCAACACATAAAAAAAAGTTCTTATTTTATTAAAAAGACTTAGTTTTAGAGGAAAAGTGAATGCCTAAACACATCTAATATTTAATAAACCTTCTCACCTTCAATTCCGGGCAAAATGTATACCAAAATTTGATCTCTTGACCTACCAACCTAAGACAATCCGCTCAAATTCACTCAAGTGCTTGTGACTATGAGTGGCAATAACTACTTCTATAGCACCAACTAAAGCTATTTAAGATTGTGCCTACAACAATTTTACATTAATAAATGTTATAGACTCATTTAAATGATTGTTCTTGCCTTGCTGATAGTATAGGTTCATGTTAAGATTAGTGGTTGTCTTAGCATATATGTTGATCCATGAGTTGAGAAAATTCTAATGTATATATGATGTTGTCTTTGGGTTTGGGAGATGTGCATTAAAGAAACATTGCGATGAGACTGCTTGACGAGTATTTTGATAAACAATCCTTGGGTCATAAGTGTTTTCTATGTTGCTTTGGTCTTCATAATGTAGAATTGGCCCTATAACTCTCCCCGGTTTAGCTATGGCAAGAAAAAAATCTCAATTATTGATATTATAAACAAAAGGACAAATATAACAACATAGTAAAAACACATTCAACTTCACATGGTAGAACCATAACTTAAATTACTAGTATGTCATCCAACAAATAAAGGAAATAAAAGGGAAAAAGAAATTATGACCATTCAAGGCTTAAACATACAGGCACTAGTGAAAAATAATGATTACACTCGGAAGGCTTTATCTCCTTATATGTTGTACTTTTCATAGCCTAATGTAATTATTTTATATTGTGAGATTGCTTGAAAGATATGGAATTGGCCTTTTGATATTTCTTAGGCATGAGTTAATAACATAATATTTCCATCCATTTGATGTTTCTTGAGATCATAATAAAAAGTTAAGAAGAAAACATTTCTAGCAATTTGAATTTGATTCTAAAATGAGGTAGCTTTGTCAGGATTTATATAAATGTACTTTTTTTTTCAAAACAAAACTATATTGTTCATTAATGTATCCTTCCCTACCTTCTTAAGTGTATCGTGAGTATTTTTTTTCTTGATAAACCTATGGATTTCATCCTTCAGGGTTTTTCAAGGAAGGAGACAAGATGATACAATTTTACTAGATTCCTATCACAAGATGGATACATAACTTTATAGGGATAAGAGATTTTTTGAGCTAATTTATACTAGTTTAGTTTCCTTTTACTATTATTTTTTTTATTTAAGTAATATAACTAAATCTCTTCCTATGTATTTTTATTGCTTCTATTAATTTTTTCATTATCCTTCCTTACCTTCATAAATATAGACAAACATAATATTATAGACCAGACTTATACCTGTTGGAACCTGTGGTTGAGGTTGTAAACCTTTTAATTGATTTCTAGTAATTGGCCCTGCATCTCTTAAACTTATAGATGCCTCTAGTGCAATTTTCTTTTTCTCATTCAAGACAAGGGTTGATTGGGTACTAGGAGGAATTGTAGTGGAATAAATAGTGGACCTACAAAAATGAAAATTGTTGTATTAAAATATCTATTGGGAAAATATTTGTTTAAATAATGCTAATTAACTAAACATGTGAACCAAAGTTCAATAGCCTAGTTAAATAAAACACATGAAAAGTTTTACATAGGTGGTGATTGTTAATCTTACCTTGGAAGAGAGATATGTTTCCTTTCTAGAGGAAGCACTGGTCCACTTTTACCTTGATTTTCCTCAAGATAAACAAATTGTCTTCTAAATTGATCCATTGCACTACAAGGACCATGTATTCATAAATAACATGCATTTCGTAAAAATACCTTAGACTTATGTAAATAATTACATCAGCCAAAATGAAGACATGCATAAAGTATAATTAACAAAAGTGTATTATAACCTAGGATATATGAAGTTTGTGCCTTTAGATCCATTTATGTAATCATTAAGCAATTGTGGATGATATTCCAATATTTCTCGATATAGTAGTTCTCTAACATCCTCTTTCATCATTCGTCTCCGCTCAAACTCAAATTCAAATTTTGAAATTGGTTTACATGAAGGTTCTCTCTCAACTTTGGCCAAGCCTTTGAAGTAAGGATCAGCCAATGCCTGCAACCATATAAGAAAAATAATTTTTTTATTTATATATTGAACAAAATATCAAGTTCTAATAATCTTTAAATGCACTATACGTAATAGTATAACACTACCAATATACCGTATTAAGGTAACTAAAAAACATACCTCTTTAGCAGTTGGTCGATCCATTGGATCAAATGCTAGCATCTTTTGTAAAAGAGAAAGTGCCATTGGATCAACATGCGGAAACTTTTGTTCAAATGACATAGGTAGCTTCCTTTCCATTCTCATCAAGTACTTTCTTGCTTTGTTATTTCGAACCTGCATAATTTAACACAAAAGTCTGTGTCAAATACTTATTCAATAGTTTTTCATGAAATAAGTAACATTAACAAGGACATATAAGATCAAGAGAAAGACAAATGAAGAAAGTAAGAATGATTCATACTCCTGTAATAATTTCAGGTGATGGTGTTCCAAGAAGATCTGTAATCAAATCTAATTGATGGAAAACACTTTTACCAGGAAACAATGGCTTTCTTATTAGCAGCTCAGCAAAAATACATCCAGTACTCCATATATCAATTGCTGGTGTATACTGCACAAAAAATGCCAATAATATTATAATATTAAAAAATTACACATTCCAATTGTGGATGAGAGGAAAAATAAAGTCATAATAGGCCAAATTTGTGTCTCATGTACATAATGAAAGTTTATGAAATAGGAAAACTACATGAGATTTGTACAAATAGGGAACATTATGTTTCCCTTAATTACGAGATATTTTCCCAATTCTATTCAATAAATGAAAGACATATTTTCCTAATTTTCAACACTCACCTTCAAGTTGGAGCACATACATCATACGTGCCCAACTAATTCCAAATATAATTAATTCTTGGTCTCCTCAAAGATTGGGTAAAAACATCTATCAATTAATCGCTGGAGTTAAGTTAACAAAACTAGTCATGATTTCTTGTCTAAACCTTCTCTTTGATGAAATGATAGTCCACCTCAATATGTTTGGGACTTTCTTGAAAGACAAGTTGGATGCAATGTGTAAAGAAACCTAGTTATCACATATTAATTACATTTTCAACTTCTCTTAAAAGTTAAGCTCATTGAGAAGTTGCATAAAAAAATAAAGTTCACTAGTTACTAACATCACAACTCTATATTTTGCCCTAACCTGTGATCTTGCTACCATTTTTTCTTATTTCTTACTCTTCCAGGATATCACATTTTCTCCAAAATGTAAACAATATCTTGAGGTGGATTGTCTAGCATTAGGTGAGCCTGCTCAGTTATCATGAGTATCTAATTATCTGAGTGTGAACTTTGTCTTCATACAATATAATCCTTTCTCCATAGCACCTTTAATATGCATGATTGGATACAATGGTTTACCATGTAGCTTCCAACATCAATCAATGGTATGTCCAAGTTGATTGTAGTGCTCACATTTGGGTTAAGTCTTAGAATGGGATGACTTACCACAAGACCATCTTGAGTTATGATTTTGAGATGTAAGATAAAAGATATCTTTAAGGAATTGACCAGAGGTTTTAGAGTGTACCTTTAAAGGGATCTAGACAAAGGGTATATGATGTTGTGGCCATGCTAGGAACTAAGAGGGAACCCAAAATATAGTCATATGTTGCAAAATATTCCAATGACAAACTATAAAGAACAAAAAAACATGAAAAGATACTCATATTCTCAAGTTCCTTTTTGTACATTATCAAAGTAGTAACAATAAAAGGTAAAAGTTCATTAAAGTCGTGAAGGCCAACATGGTCTCTTCCCAAATATGCTAAAATTATACCATCAAACTTTTGAGGAAAATTGAGAGTCATCAAGTCCTAACAAACACCATATATTCATTAAGTGTCATTCATATAAAAAGCATTATCTCTACTACATAACATTTCACATGTAATATGTGGTTAGGAAGATGGGTTTGATAGAGGGATGAAGAGTAAACTTAATGGAACTACCTAATTAAGCATCAATATTTTTCCATATAGCACCATCAAAGGTTGGTACCAACACAATAATGCGAGAAAGATGGTTTTTGTATCCTTAGCCATTAACCCATAGTAATACATTAAAGGTCCATGTGGTTTTTGTGGGAGATTCAAGAGTATAGATATGTTGGGCTTAAACGATATGAATGAATAAAAAACATGATCAAAAGCAAAGGAACCCAACATCTATGAAGATGAGAGACAAAGGGACGAGGCTTGACAAAAGTCCTTGGATCACAACGTGAGGCCTATTATTATGCTCCCTAGGGAAGGGCAACACTAGTGTTGGAAAATATAGGCTAAATAATGGCCACACATGCTCTTATGTATCAACGATCAAAATTATTTGGTTGGATAAAGTAAACTCACGTAAAGGATCCAACCAATATGCCATCAGCGATGCCATGTACATTGGTGGATAGCAAGTCTAATTGTGGTCTTTGTGGCCAAAAATGTCGTTGAAGTGCCAACAACAATATTAATATCCAAAAAAAGGTGTTACTAGAAGAGAGTGCACTAGAAAGGAACATAGTGCACCCAAAAAAATATTCATTTAAAATAGTGGGTATACCAAATATCATGAATCCTTTTTATGTCTCTATTAGGCTCTTAATAGCATGTTGAAAGAGCTGAAAAATATATACATTCGTGTGTCTCAACTACACAATGGAACTTTATGAAATAGGTAAAATACATGAGATATGTATGATTAGGAAATATTATGTTTCCCTCAATTACTAGATATTTTCCTATTTTGTGTTATAAAAGAAAGATATTTTTACCTGATTTCCAACACCAATCATAGATCTCCTTGCATTGGGAATAAACAAGTAGAATAACACACTTACCTAGAGGAAAAATAATTTAACATCTAAGAGAAATTTATTATCCTATCTTTTCACTTCCCTCATTCAAGAACAAACTCTTCGCTTAAATCTTTCGAGTCCTGTCCTATTTTTTCCACACTAACCAATAAGGTTATGACCACAAAACAAACTTGGTTAACAAACATGGTCTATGTGCCACTAATGTAGTGACTTGTTGAGAGCATTCAATGCAAAGTAGATAAGACAAATCAAAATAGCTAGGTTCTTTTATTCCTTGAAAGCAGAATCATTGTCATTTTCTAAGCAAATGAATTGGTCAGTACTTCAACTTTGAGGTGTTAAATGCATTGAGAGGGTTGGAGGAATAGAAAAATCATTTATGCTTGATTATATAAAGCATAATCCCTAATAATAAAAAATATTCCTATGTTGATAATGGTTATTAAAGATTGGAGAATAAAATCTTCTAAACAACTATGATAGGAAATCTAATGCCATAGTTGAATCTTGCTTCTTCTTCCTATAAGGAAGTATTATAATCTAAGCATTATTATTTACTAGATATAAAGTACACAAAAAACATTTATTCATTAATAAATGCGACATTTTGATAACTAAGCAAAACACATCATTAATAAATGCAACATTTTGATATCCAAGAAAAACACATTTTTAGTTTCATCGTATGAACTTTCACCATTGTATGATTGTTTGTTTGAGTTGAAATAGTTCTATGGTGCTTATTCTAATCTAGTTTCCTTAATATGTTTGTCCATAGTTATTTTTTCAGCCAATATTTTACAAACATGCTCCTTGAAAAGTAATTATTCAATCTTTTGTATTTTATTAAAACAAATGAAAACATATTTACAAGTGGGAAGGGTTCCATTAAAAGAATCTACCCCCTATAAATTTTAGAAATAGTTTCATTGAGATCCACAAGGAAAATGAGAACAAACTCCATCTGACTATAATCAATAAGGGGCTAAATAAAACCACAATGGCTTGTATATGTTGTGAACGATTTAGTAAGTTCTTTCCAAATTTTCTATGATTTGGTAAAGGATTACCTGAAACTGAGTCTTGATCAAAACTTAGAAGATCCATCTTGAGTTGGAAGAGTCAAAGACTATTTTGTTGGTTCAACATGTCTTGTAAGTCGTTTCATATATCAGTTGCAATATTGGAATACATGATATTGACAATAATTTCTTTGGAGATTGAATTTGGAATCCAAAAGGCAATTATATTATTGTTTCACTCCTAAGAATAATAGGTTCAACCAGTAGCAAGGTTTGGCTTTGTGAAATGGTTCATCAATGAAGTCAATCTTATTCTTGGTAATGATGCCATTTTCATACTTTTTTTTTGTGAAATGTAGTTGCTAACACCCAATGGTGAGACACAAAATTAAGCCCAAGACTATTTGAGAGTGGAGAAAAAAGGATTGTTGGATCCTTCATGCAAGCCAAGTAATCTTATTATAAAGAATATGGGATTTCTCCACTCAATATAATGCTTAACTTGCAGAATTTCAAGGGTCTATACCCAATTTCCAAAGGCCCTAATTCAAATGCAAAAGACAAGATTCAATCCCTCTCAACTCCTCTTCCAATTTATATACAACTAATTGTTCACTAACATGACCTCACTCAATTGGCCTAAGTAGTTGTAGGCCCATTCCCTTTTTTCTAACATAATTGCTTACAAATACTATTAATCTTCCATTATCAAGAAATAGGGGAGGAAACAAGTTGGCTTGGTGAAGGAATCAACAAAACCACGAAGAAGGAATGTAACTCAAAAATGTAGAAGTCATAGTAATGATATCATATCAAGAAAGAAAACTAGACTAGAGAGCAATTGTGTAAATTGAATTAATTAAAAAAGAAAAAGAACAAAGTTGATTGTTTTACATCATGCCACTTTAAACTCAAAACCTCCAATTTAAAACTCAGATATAATATATTTTTTTATAGAATTTCTCCTTCTAATTAAAATTATGGACTATAGAGAAATACCTCAAACTTAAATGCTTGTAATAGTTAACTATTTCTAATTGGATGATCATTGTAAATAACAAGTCTATTATTCAAGTATTCCACACTAATTTTGACATATAAGGGATGAAATCAATACATACTTGAAGTGTGTGATTGAATTAGCTTATTTTGTCTTCAAAATTGCTCATAATTAACATTTTACTAAAAGAGTAGATGCGAAAAAAATATTTTTCCTACAAATTGTTGAAAACATCAATCCAATTTTAATTTTCCAAATAAACACAATAGGTGGAAAGTCAAAAGGTGCATTCTAAGTGATAATGGGGTGAATCTTAAGTTGAAAAAATCCGCTACCATAATAAGAATGTAAGGGGAGAGATACGACAATTAAGTTTCACTAAGTCTCAAATGGAGCCATGAATCGTTGCTATGTAAAAGGGTCATATGAAGAATATTGATCATCCTGACCAAAGTAAAAGTAGACAAGAAGTGTTTAGGTGTATCATCACTTGTGTGAGAAAAGGTCTCTTATTATAGTGAAAGTGTGTTATCATTTCATATAAATCTTATGTAAGGGAACTCAAGTTTGTAGAGGGATACAAAATGTGAGATATGTTACAATTCCAATAAGTACATTTGATATAGTGAAACACTTTTAAGGAAACTTCATGGACCTAGATAAAAAGTGTAGAACCATGTTAATATTTTGTGTTTTATCTATGAGATCTTTAGGATATATATAGGTGATTTTGTTTGTGTGTGTATTTTTTTTCTAGCACAAGTTAAGTCAATCCAACTATATAGTAGCAATCTCAATTATGAATGATTTCAAAGTTTAAGAACCAAAAATATATATCAAGAGGTAATTGACATGATATGACCAAAAGAAAACTATAATTTAAAAATAAAACAAGTAACAAAAGTTGAATAAACCAAGAAGAAGGATCCAATAATTAACAAAACTTAAAATAAGAACATATAAAAAATGGAATCAAATGAAAGACTTTACTTATGTTACAATTTTTAGTTCCTCTCAATCAACAAGTACTAAATTGGAATCAAAAGGTAACATTTTTAGACAAATTAGAACAAGACAAATTGTTACATATGGATTATCTTTAATTTTTGAAGTATTTTTAAATTAGAACAAAATTGGACAAAAGGTTTAAATAGTGTAGCATTTTAATTACATTAATAAGGTGGAAGAAAGACAAAATCATTCCATTCCTTTCTGTTTATGTGTCAAAAACTATCAAAGTTATTCAATATATGTTAAATCAAATCGATGTGTTTGTCTTTTGTAGTGTGTATTTCAAATTTGTTGAACTATAAAGAAACAATATAATCTAGTTTTATAAGAAAAGAAATAGGAACATAGAATTTAAGAAAACTAAGGCACATTATCATAAGAACAATAAATGGAACCAAAGAAAAACATAGTTAATGTCAATATGTATTTGTAGTATGACATATTTGGATAATAATTGTTAATATAAAACTATTCATGTATATTCTTCTAATGACTTCAATTATTGGAATAATTGGTTCATAATATAGTATAAAAGCCTTTGTGACCAAATAATTTAAAGTTCAATCGTCATTGTCTCCATATTTAAATAAAAGGTTAAAAAAATTAGCACAAGGCAGGTGGGCCTGTGCATTTTCCATGCCTCTAGTTAAAAAGGTTCTTTTATAACGTGTTACAATATAAAACCATTTGTGTGTCTTTAATCTTTATCTAATAACTTAAGCTTATATCTTATTCATGGTAATAACATCAATGAAATGGATTATTATTGGACCGATTCCAGATGGTGTCATAGGCTCATACACAGATGTGGATAGGTCATCACAAAAAACACTTAAGTACATATATTCAAGCAAAATTGTACCTTATCAAAGAAAGTTCCACACAACTCTGGGGCTCTGTACCATCTAGTAGCAACATAATCCTACAATATGCCACAAAAAAATAAAGATGGCTGATCATGCTACATCTAATTTAATGTATAAAAATAGACATAGACAACTTTTTTATTTTAAATTAAATAAAACTACATACTGTCCAAAATAATGTTGTTGGGGCATCATTGAATGCAACTCTTGCCAAACCAAAATCACAAACTTTGAGTTTGCAGTTTGCATTTGCCAATATATTCTTTGGCTTAAGATCTCTGTGATACACATTAGCTATAACCAAACATAGACATAATTAGAAGTGATTTATGGCCTAATACATCAAAATAATAAAGATTAGAAAGAATGCATACAAAGTCCAAAAATGAAAAAGAAAAAGAAAAATAAGTATACACCTGCATGCATATACTTTAATGCACGTAGCATTTGATAAAGAAAAAATTGATGGTGTTCATGAGTCAAGTCATCATTAGCTTTGATGACATGATGGAGATCAGACTCCATGAGCTCAAGAACTACATAAATATCTTTAAACTCCCTCTTTGAAGGTGGCAACATTATCCTTTTAATATCAACCAAATCAGGGTGTCTTAATAGCCTTAACAACTTGACTTCACGGAGAATTCTAATGGCATCAGAGGTATTATCAAAGACGTCTTGAATCTTCTTTATAGCAACCTTTTCCCCGGTGTGTGTGTCAATTGCTGCACATACAACTCCATAGCTACCCTTCCCTATAACTTCGAGAAGCTTGTATCTATTAGCATCTCCATACTCACTGAAAAACTCCAACTCCGTAATCTCCTGCATGTTATTAACTCTAAAACTCAATGTTCTAGACAAATTTATCAAATTAAAGTCAATGATACTACAAAAAAAAATGTATCAAACCCTTCTAAGGAGATATCATAATTAATTGACTCAAATACTTATTTGAATTTTGAAACTAAATCTAGTAAATATCTCTTTAAAAAAAATAAACAATTAACAAACATCATAATATGTAACAATGTAATGATTTTTGTGTCAAATAATATTTGAAGCACAACAAAATATATAACTTATCAAATTCATAAATGCTAAATCTATTGAAAAAAAAAAACAAAGGATTAAAAAAGAGAATAAAGCATCCTTATTTTCAATCATTATATATTCAAAATTCACTCTCTTTTTTCCTGCATTTGATGTCCAAATGTTCATTTTATTCATCATAAAATCCAATTCATAAATTAAAAAAAGTAAATGTACCTTTTTGAGTTGATATTTTTGTGTCATTGTCTTGTCTTTTTTTTCTGTTTCTTTCCTTTTCTCTTTTGTTGGAAATAGATCCAGTAGTAGGGAATTTATTTTCACAAGGCACGCCTATATCTACATTCAAGAGACACAGAAAACCCTTTCTCAAATCAAACAAGGAATCTTAAATTGGAAATAAATTGTTATTAGAAGATTCAAATTGACAAACCTTGACATAAATTTAAAGCTTCAAAATTTGTCTCTCCCAAACCTAGAGCATGTATTTGATTGTTGCGACTCAAACCCTCCTCCACTTTGGAGGATTTGAGCGCGTGGAAGAAGAGAAGAAAAAGAAGCCAAGAACAAATCAAAGAGAAATGTAATGAAACACAATTGTAAAGGCAATAAAAAGAATTTTATTATTCACTTGGGAAAAAAAAGGCACAACTCTCTTCACTTTTTAAAAAATAACAAAAATAACAAAAAATAAATAAGAAATAAAAGTTGGTTTGACAATTAAAATAGTTATTATGAATTATAAATAAAATAAAGTTCAAGCTAAATGACACTTTTTATCCCTTATATCCTTCAAATCCACAATTTTGGTTCCCCTTTTATTAATTACATAATTTTTGTTTTTATCCCTTATATATGTTGACTTTGACATAATAACCTATGGGACTTAGCATTTCACATAGACTGTGACACATTGGTAAGATGCAAACTAGTAATGGACACATAAGTGGTAATATTTTTTTATTGCAATCATGGTAGATTTCTTTCGTTTATGTTTTCTTAGTGTTTCATGGGTTTTGATTAGTCTACCATATTTTTTGTACTTTTTTTTCTTATTTTTTATCTTAATTTTTTGGGTATGCTACAAATGATTGGTAAGTCTTGGAATACCAATGTTATTGGAATGTCTTGGTTCTATAATGATACTTACGTGGTAATAAAATATAACAATTATTTAGAAAATAGTAGAGAAATTCATGAGTTCATGAGACTGCATGACCCTCTATAAATATACTATCTAAGCAATCAAGTTAACTACTTGCCTCTTTAAGTTACAACTTCAACATTATATTATAAATAACATAGTTGCATGAATTAACTGTTTCTAAAAAAAATATTTAATGTTATTTTAGTTTCAAATTAATCACTAATGAATTTATTAAATAAAACTATTAATTCTTAATAAATTGATTTCATAATTTATTATTTAATGTATTTTTATACAATAACTATAAATATACATTTTCTTAATTTTATTTCTTTTTTAACACTTTTTTCATTATTTTAATATATGACTTGAGTTATATTATTTATTTTAATATTATAAATTTATATTATTTATTGTATAAAAATATTTTAATTAATAACCATATTAATATTGTATACATTATATTAAATTAAATAAAAAACTTTAAAAAAATTAGATCATACAATAATCATATATGTAATATAGTTCTCATGATACAGTTTAAAATTAATAAATAATAAATATTATATATTAAAAGTATTTTTTTGTAAATTAATTATATAATTTATATTTCTCATATAAAAAATATAAACATACAATCACTTCTTGTCTTTCTTTTTCATTTTAATTTTATTTTTAACGTTTTGTTAACACACTGATAACATTATATTATCTATTTTAATATTAAATAATTTATATTATTTATTGTATACAAAATATATCAAATAATAAATAATATAATATAATATAATTAATTTTATACTGTAATTTATATTTATTGAATGATAAATTTTATATTTATTAAATGAAGAAATAAAGTAAATCCTGACTTTTTTCTTCTTCTTTTTTTTTTATAATGACCACATATATTTTTCATGGAGACAATACTACTTTAATTAGGTAAAATTACTATAATTAGTAACATAAACATTATAGAATTAATATGGTTAGTAATTCATATATTTTTTATACAATAAATAGTATAAATTTATAATATTAAAATAAATATGATATATTAAAAAGAAAAAGATTACGTTAAAAAGAAAATTTGTAACACTATTTGTAGAGCTCGCAAATAAGGTTAGATTAGGTCCTAAATTTTAAATAGAATTATGCTATTTTGGCTCGATCTACTAAGCCTGACAAACCAAATAGGCCCAAGTTAGGTTGGCTCATAAGCTTATGGACTGGCCCATTAAATTAATAATGGAAATAATGAACTATCATTATTGTCAACCCTATAAATCTGTAATGCATTATAAAATAATAAAATATGATATAATAATAGTAGTAATAGTCTTTCACTATTTTTTGTTCATTTACAAAGTTGTGATTACAAACTTAAAGGAAAGGTTAACCATTATAAGAGTTTCTTTGCTCATCTTTCAAGTATTAATCATTTAAGACATCATATTATTAAATACATTGGATCTCCTAGGAACCAAGATGTTGGGGTTATGTTGGATAATAAAGCTACTTTACTAAAGTAAAAATTTGATCCTAGGACTTATAGAGATGCACTTGCAAGGTGTGTTATCAAGCATGATCTTCCATATTGTAATGCTAAATTTGAAGGGGTTTGAATACTGAATAAAGTGTTAAATTCTCATTTAAAATCCAATTGTAGAAACACTTTAACAGTTGATCACAATAAAATATTTAAACCTAATAGGAAATTCTAAATAATATGTTAACTACCATTCCAAATATAATATGTTTGACTTTCGATGTATGAACATCTATAAATACCCAAGACTATATGATTGTTATTGCCTAATTGCTTGTTTATAATTAGTATATAGCATCAATTAATAATATTATAATTTTTTCATTGTAAAAAATTTGATTTAATTTTTTAATGTATTTTTTTTAATTAATTAGGTCAATTTGTTCTAATGGCCCAACATGGGTCAGGTTGGGCCAAAAATGGAAGTCTGAAAAAATATAGGTCAAGTCAACCTAGCCTAGAATAACATTTGACCTGTGTAGGTTAGGCCGAAAGACATTAGTGGTCTAGAGGAGAAGAAGAATCATACAAAAAAATTAGAGAGAGAAAGGAGCCCACAAACCCAGAGTCCTTCTCTCTAAAACCTCTCATTCTCCTCACTGCCCACAACCCCTATCTGACTAGTACCGTTCCACCAATGCTCTGCCTCCCCTGTCAACATATACACTGCATACTCGAGCTTCCGCTCCTCTAAACAACCCAAAAATGAGAATATCTTCTCCAACTCGCAAATCCAGTGGTCAGCCACCTCTGAATCTGCATCACCCCTGAACTGAGGAGGACTACACTTCCTGAACTCAGCCAGATCCCTCCTCACATGAGAGCCAGTAGGTCCTGCTGCAGCTCTCTCTGCATCCGCCCTAGCAAAATGTGCAGTCTACTACTGCATCGCCATGGCCATCATCTCTATGGCCCTAGCTATCTGATCATACTGGGTCTCACCATACTACAAGAATTCAAACATCTTTTTAGTAACATAATACCTCCACAAATCACCAAAGACTAGCACATATCAGAGATATGACACAACAACAACCTAGAAGGATCACTCCCCACAGAGTATCCAAAGGACTCGACCGGCTCTGATACCATAAAAGTGTAACGACCCGCCGTGGTCCCTACACTTAGAGGAATCGCACTAAAAGTTTGTAAACTAAGATAAATAATAAAATTGGATAACTCATAAATACAAAAACATGAAAAATATATAAGAATAATTAAGATTTTAAGTATTAGGTATTTATACAGTTATCCAAAACTACTATCTCCTAGTGCCGGTCAAGCACAAAACTGTTACCCAAGGTGGTAACTCTGATACTAGGAACCAAAAATTCCACTTCTAGTAGCAGACTCAGCCAACAGCTCCAACCTAGCCCTGATCTGCTCTGATACACCGTATGATCATAGCAGTCCATCCACACGAAAACAGAAGGGTAAGTTAGAGTTCAATAAACAACCATACAAGTATAGGGAAACACTATACTACTCATTCATTCAATCATCATCACAAACGACCATACAGTTCAACATAAAAACACAACTCATTCATACAACTTAGAAACAACTTTAATACAACAACAACAATAATATACAACTTAATATTTAATGTGTCGTCACACATATACAACTGGGAGATCTCCAACAACTGAGGTTGAGCAGTCTAGGTGGCATAAACCCTACCGAAAGACATTAGTGGTCTAGAGGAGAAGAAGAATCATACAAAAAAATTAGAGAGAGAAAGGAGCCCACAAACCCAGAGTCCTTCTCTCTAAAACCTCTCATTCTCCTCACTGCCCACAACCCCTATTTATAGAAATTCCGGAGTGGCCAGAACGGCCTGTTCCGAATCCGGAACGACCCGTTCTGCACCCCTTCATCATGTGCAAAAATCACATGCAGAACGACCCATTCTGAAATCAGAACGGCCCGTTCTGGGACTCATCCAGAACGGCCCGTTCTCCATCCAGAACGCCCCGTACTCCATCCAGAATGGCCCGTACTCCATCTAGAACGGCCCGTACTCCAACCAGAACGGCCTGTTCTAGGCTTTGTAACACCCCGTTCTCAACTACATTTTATAGGTCAATTCAGAATGGAAGAGTACTCATCAGGAAGCCCATACAATGCCATCAACATAAAGAATGTTTGGCGTTGCTCTAGTTCCTTGGCAGGAGTGTCAGCAGGAGGCAAAAGTTCATTGAAGTCATGTAGGAGGCCATGAACTTTGCCCAAATACTCAGCCATGGAGCCACCAAGGCATCGTGGGGAGATGATATTCTGGAGATTTAGACACACACCATAGAGACGTTGAGTATCATTGGTGTATAACACTCGGGCATCCACACGAAAACAGAAGGGTAAGTTAGAGTTCAATAAACAACCATACAAGTATAGGGAAACACTATACTACTCATTCATTCAATCATCATCACAAACGACCATACAGTTCAACATAAAAACACAACTCATTCATACAACTTAGAAACAACTTTAATACAACAACAACAATAATATACAACTTAATATTTAATGTGTCGTCACACATATACAACTGGGAGATCATCCAAGAAAAATAAAGCTTATAGAGCTTGGGAGGATAATGCTTCTACAACCTCCAACAATATTGAACAAGATCAAGTGGAAAATCTTAGTCTCATGCCTAGATATGATTCAAATTATGAGGTAAGTGATTTAGACTCATCCTCTTGTTCATACAATCAAATACAAGATACATTTTCTGAACTTTATGCTGAAGCAAAGAAAATAGAATATCTGGATAAAGTCTATAAAGACAAGATTAAGGAATTATAATTGAAAGTATTTTTCTGGAAAAAGAAAATGAAACTTTAGCAACTAGAATTAGTAAGTTAAATTTGCCTTGCATAGATTGCAAAAA